CTATTACTATCCCAGTATTCCTAGTCGAGCCGCTGTTTCTAATCCTTTTTTTAAAAGTCAGAATCGAGATAAACAAAAAACTTTTGGATTTCAACATTAAAAACACCCAGGGAACCAGCATTTTGATGTGATTATGGATATATCTTCAAGAGGTGCGCCCCAATAAAATTTAGGAACTAAAATTCGAATCTATGCACCAAGCTATTAAAAGACTGGCGAAAGGCATTTTTTGGTAGTTAAAACTTTTGATGCCTCCCTTAAAGACCATAGGCGGTGATGGCAGCCCTCACTAAATTAGGCCTTTCCTAAGGATCACTTGTGGATCTTACTACTGTCATTTTGAGCTCAACTTGTGATCGTTTTTCGTAAAGCTAGCGCGATATGTCGTGCTATTAACCCGTTAGTGCAGATTTAGTCCGTCCTAGAAATCATTCCGAATTGATTTGCGACTAATAATGCCCTTTGTTCTGATGAATACCTTGGAAAATGCAAAATGTATCTTTTGCTTCTTTAGAGAGCGCCAGGGGGATGCTTTTCAAAAAACAAATCCTAAAATTTAAAACGTTTTGAATTTTTTTCATTTCTTTTGAAGTCCCCTTTTTTTCATGTCGAAAACTACTCCATAGACCTTAAAAAATAGCGCTAGAAATTTCCAGGGCTTCGCCCTGATACGAGCAGTTTTGTTACAAGTTTTAAGTTTGACTGTGGAATTTAATATCGTACAAACACAATTTTGTGCTCTGAAAATTTTTCAAAATCTCCATATTAAAACCCGGATATGAAGCCAAAAAACCAATATAATTTGTCCGAAATACATCAATCCAAAGAAAAAATTAAAAGAAAAAAAAACAAACAAAGAAATTTCAACAAATCGAGTTAGTAAATTACAACCAATATAAAAAGAAAATTAGACCTTAAATAGCGCTAGAGTTTTCCAGGGCTTCGCCCTGATACGAGCAGTTTTGTTACAAGTTTTAAGGTTGACTGTGGAATTTAATATCGTACAAACACAATTTTGTGCTCTGAAAATTTTTCAAATTCTCCATAATAAAACTCGGATATGAAGCCAAAAAACCAATATAATTTGCCCGAAATACATCAAGCCAAAGAAAAAATTAAAAGAAAAAAAAACAAACAAAGAAATTTCAACAAATCGAGTTAGTAAATTACAACCAATATAAAAAGAAAATTAGACCTTAAATAGCGCTAGAGTTTTCCAGGGCTTCGCCCTGATACGAGCAGTTTTGTTACAAGTTTTAAGTTTGACTGTGGAATTTAATATCGTACAAACACAATTTTGTGCTCTGAAAATTTTTCAAAATCTCCATATTAAAACTCGGATATGAAGCCAAAAAACCGATATAAATTGCCCGAAATACATCAAACCAAAGAAAAAATTAAAAGAAAAAAAAACAAAGAAATTTCAACAAATCGAGTTAGTAAATTACAACCAATATAAAAAGAAAATTAGACCTTAAATAGCGCTAGAGTTTTCCAGGGCTTCGCCCTGATACGAGCAGTTTTGTTACAAGTTTTAAGGTTGACTGTGGAATTTAATATCGTACAAACACAATTTTGTGCTCTGAAAATTTTTCAAATTCTCCATAATAAAACTCGGATATGAAGCCAAAAAACCAATATAATTTGCCCGAAATACATCAATCCAAAGAAAAAATTAAAAGAAAAAAAAACAAACAAAGAAATTTCAACAAATCGAGTTAGTAAATTACAACCAATATAAAAAGAAATTTAGACCTTAAATAGCGCTAGAGTTTTCCAGGGCTTCGCCCTGATACGAGCAGTTTTGTTACAAGTTTTAAGGTTGACTGTGGAATTTAATATCGTACAAACACAATTTTGTGCTCTGAAAATTTTTCAAATTCTCCATAATAAAACTCGGATATGAAGCCAAAAAACCAATATAATTTGCCCGAAATACATCAATCCAAAGAAAAAATTAAAAGAAAAAAAACAAACAAAGAAGTTTCAACAAATTGAGTTAGTAAATTACAACCAATATAAAAGGAAATTAGACCTTAAATAGCGCTAGAGTTTTCCAGGGCTTCGCCCTGATACGAGCAGTTTTGTTACAAGTTTTAAGGTTGACTGTGGAATTTAATATCGTACAAACACAATTTTGTGCTCTGAAAATTTTTCAAATTCTCCATAATAAAACTCGGATATGAAGCCAAAAAACCCATATAATTTGCCCGAAATACATCAATCCAAAGAAAAAATTAAAAGAAAAAAAAACAAACAAAGAAATTTCAACAAATCGAATTAGTAAATTACAACCAATATAAAAAAAAATTAGACCTTAAATAGCGCTAGAGTTTTCCAGGGCTTCGCCCTGATACGAGCAGTTTTGTTACAAGTTTTAAGGTTGACTGTGGAATTTAATATCGTACAAACACAATTTTGTGCTCCGAAAATTTTTCAAAATCTCCATATTAAAACTCGGATATGAAGCCAAAAAACCGATATAAATTGCCCGAAATACATCAAACCAAAGAAAAAATTAAAAGAAAAAAAACAAATAAAGAAATTTCAACAAATCGAGTTAGTAAATTACAACCAATATAAAAGGAAATTAGACCTTAAATAGCGCTAGAGTTTTCCAGGGCTTCGCCCTGATACGAGCAGTTTTGTTACAAGTTTTAAGGTTGACTGTGGAATTTAATATCGTACAAACACAATTTTGTGCTCTGAAAATTTTTCAAATTCTCCATAATAAAACTCGGATATGAAGCCAAAAAACCAATATAATTTGCCCGAAATACATCAATCCAAAAAAAAATTAAAAGAAAAAAAACAAACAAAGAAATTTCAACAAATCGAGTTAGTAAATTACAACCAATATAAAAAGAAAATTAGACCTTAAATAGCGCTAGAGTTTTCCAGGGCTTCGCCCTGATACGAGCAGTTTTGTTACAAGTTTTAAGGTTGACTGTGGAATTTAATATCGTACAAACACAATTTTGTGCTCTGAAAATTTTTCAAATTCTCCATAATAAAACTCGGATATGAAGCCAAAAAACCAATATAATTTGCCCGAAATACATCAATCCAAAGAAAAAATTAAAAGAAAAAAAAACAAACAAAGAAATTTCAACAAATCGAGTTAGTAAATTACAACCAATATAAAAAGAAAATTAGACCTTAAATAGCGCTAGAGTTTTCCAGGGCTTCGCCCTGATACGAGCAGTTTTGTTACAAGTTTTAAGGTTGACTGTTGTATTTAATATCGTACAAACACAATTTTGTGCTCTGAAAATTTTTCAAATTCTCCATAATAAAACTCGGATTTGAAGCCAAAAAACCAATATAATTTGCCCAAAATACATCAATCCAAAGAAAAAATTTAAAAGAAAAAAATAAACAAAGAAATTTCAACAAATCGAGTTAGTAAATCACAACCAATATAAAAAGAAAATTCCGAACTTGAGCAGGTATTCAAAATTCCAACAAGAACAACAGCTATCTGCGGCGCTAAATTAGTTGCGAACAGAAAATGTCAGAAAATGAGTCCACAGAAATCAAGTTATGAAAAAGTCTACTCTTCACAGTAGCCAAACTAAACTGGGTAAAGATTAAGATTGCTATTATTCCCCCAGTATTCCTAGTCGAGCCGCTGATTTTAATCGTTTTTTAAACCAGATTCGAGATAAATGTAAAAATTATAGGATTTCATCATTAAAAGTACCCAGGGAACCAGCATTTTGAGGTGCTTATGGATATATCATTAAAAGGTGCGCCCCAAAAAATTTAGGATCCCAAAATTCGAATCTATGCACCAAGCTATTATAAGACAAGCGAAAGGCATTTTTTGGCAGCCAAATCTTTTGATGCCTCCCTTAAAGATTATAGGCGGTGATGGCAGCCCTCACTAAATTAGGCCTACCCTAGGGATCACTAGTGGATCTTACTACTGTCATTCTGAGCTCAACTTCTGATCGTTTTTCGTAAAGCTAGCGCGATATGTCGTGCTATTAACCCGTTAGTGCAGATTTAGTCCGTCCTAGAAATCATTCCTAATTGATTTGAGACTGATAATGCCCTTTGTTCTCATAAAAACCTTGCTAAATGCAAAATTCATCTTTTGCTTCTTTAAAGAACGCCAGGGGGATGCTTTTCAAAAAACAAATCCTAAAAACTAAAACGTTCTGAATTTTTTTCCATTTCTTTTGTAGTCCTCATCAATTTTTTCATGTCGAACACTACCTCGTAGACCTTAAAGAGCACTAGAATTATTCAGGACTTCGCCCTGATACGAGCACTTGTGTTACATACTTTAAGGTTGACTGTGGACTTTAATGTCGTACAAACACAATTTTGTGTGCTGGGAATTTTTTTCAATTCTCCATAATAAAAATTCCATCCAAACCATTCGACTTCCCCTTTAGCCGACAAACGTCTGACTCTTCTTTCCAAATTAATAACACCACAGTCAGAGTACAAGCGTTCGTTAATGCCAAAGCTTGCATGTGTCCCCTGCATTTTTCAGCGGTTGAAACCCTGTAGCAGTACTGAAAAGTACGCGCGACCTCCGGTTCCGTTAACAAGTCTGCTCAGAATGTAAAATCGTCCTGCTGTGAAGCCCTTTTTGGGGACAAGATCATGTTTTGGTTGACATTTGGAAAATTCAATTAACTGGAACATAAACTTCTGATACAATCCGACGTTAAATATTTTTAGCTTGGAAGTTATCAATAGGTGAAACAAGTCTTGTATATTTTGAAATAAGTGAAAATAACTCAGATTGCGTTTTATTTTTTTGATTAAAAACCCTTCAACTTCCACTTTATCAGCAAAACTTTTTAGCGTATTCATAACCGTTAGTTAAGACTAGCTGATTGTCTGGCGTCTAATTTTTTGCCCGAAATTCTTGCTGAATCATTTTTTTTAGATGTGTCTCCTATTTCAAAGCTTTTTTATTCAAGGCTCTTTAAATTTGTTTTCTGTTTTCTTTATCACAATCTCATACAACGAAGGTCCCTCAATGGTACGGTTGCAAGAGATATTTTTGTAACGATTAGAAACGCGCGTCATAAAAATGAAAGCCGATGCAGTTTGATAACTTTTTAAACGTTACATCTCTTCAACTTTTGATGATTTGCTTAAAATTGAGTCGTTTTTATTAAAAACGATTAACGTGTTGAATTGAGTAATTTTACAATCCGGTGTTCGTTACTGTTTCCGCTCAAAGTATTCCTCCGTTTACACGAACTTCTTTTAAAACTTTTAAGTAAACAACTTCCAAATCGAACTTGAGCACCTCTAAAGAGACAGTTTTTCTTTTTCTATTCACCGTGAATTTTGCATGGCGGAGGAGGAGATGGAGTTCGAGAGTGAGGAGGACTACTGGAGTCATGCATTTGACACGTTCGACGCCAACTCGGACGGAGGAATAGACAGCGAGGAGTTGGAGTACCTGATGCAGATATGCAAACTGAACCCCACCAAGGAGACAGTGGCACACATCATGCAGCAGTACTCCTCAACAGGTACGCAATACAAAGAAGTGAGCAAACCCCGTGCCAAGGCCTTGACTTATGTTGCGACCGAATAGGATCGCCGAAATGGGCTTCCCGCGACCGAAAATCTACACTCCCGTCCGAGATCTGAGCCGCACTAAGTACTTCGCTTATGCCAAATATCACGTATTTGAAATCATAACTCCTAAACTGCATGTAATTATGGCAAGTATTTTGTGTGGAGTGCAAACCTACTGCGAAGCAGGCTGATGTTAGTTTTGACATTCCGAGAAATTTCACTAATAACTTACCTTAATAAGAGATCAAGAAGGGTTAAAAAATCTAAGATGTCAGGGTGTGACTAAGAAGGCATACGATGAGTGAGAAGCCAACATAACATTTCCTAACATAATTCTCTATGGCGGATCAAATGTGTTTTGTTTGCCTCCTTGGCGAGAGAAAAGTGAAATTTCTGTTTTTCAGGGGAGAAGAGACTGGGCAAGGAAGAGTTTGTGTTGATGATGAAGGAGAAGAGGGACAATGGGGAGTGGGCGGGAGATCCCTACGAGGACCTCCTCTCCGCATTCTCCCTCTTTGACACTGAGGGCACAGGCGAACTCACCATGGGCCAGATGATGTATGTTTCAAAATACAAAACAGGAATAGCCAGTTGCTGTGCAAGTAACACAACATTTTACAGCTACAGCTCAGATTTGGTTTCCGTAGATTTGCTGTTCTGAAATTTTTGGTCATCAAAACGATAAAAACTTATTTCAAAAAATATATTTTTTTGGTTTTTGTCGTTTTTGGAGGGGCGAATCAGAAAAAATCGTATGAAATATGGCATCAGCTGACACTTAAAGCTTATACAGAAATTTTCAATGTTAGTCTTTTATATGCTTAACAATAAGTGGGAAAAATTTTCACTGTTTTTCTCGACACAGGGATCTGTCAGGAAAAATTGAGAAACAGCTAATATACCGCTCAATAATGCTTCAAAAATGATAATTTGGCAGTGTCTGAAATGCTTGTATGGCACTAGATTACGTTGTATCTCGGTAAACAAATGAAACCAGAACAAACTTAATTTTTTAACTAGCTATTTTTTAGGGAAATTTTCATATACAATTTGGAAGATATTAATGCCCTGAGCACAAAATTAGAAAAATATTTTACATGCGACTGTCCTTGATAAAATTTGTTCTATTGACACACAAGCTTGAAATTCAAGTCATAGCCAACAGATAGTAGAACTCTTCAGCCATTCGCTTCTACACGTTCATACAACCGAGATAAAGAACAAATATCAAAACACAGTGGAGTTTACAACTTTTGCGATGCAATTTAGAACATTGCATCACAAGATATTGAATAGAAAAAAGAAGCAATTCATTTTTTTTTGAAAAACCAAGCTGAAAAAATAGTTGAAAAAAGTATAAGAAAAACAATATCTACAAAAATTTTACATTCTGGTCCCGCATGAGGTTCATAAGCAGCCTAACCAAACATTGAGAATCAATGACAAAACGGCAACTAAGCAAAAAAATGCGTAGACTACAAAGTCAAAAGGTTTCCAAAAAACGAGCACAGTTTCAAAAAATGTACAAGTTTTAAACAATTATTTTTTCATCAATTAAAATTTAAGGGAAACAAACTGGGCAGCGAAGGCTTACAATCTGTCAAGACAAGAAGTTAACGAGAAAACGAAAAAGCTTTCGATAAACGGTCAACATCAAAATTTAGACATGTTCTCAACCCAAAATTTTTTTTGCACAAAATTTAGGGCGTAGCAGATTGTGCGGGGGAAATTCCCAACCAATTTTTGTGGTTGAAGCTTTAACCTTGTTTGTTGCTGTACCTTACAAGAAAATGAAAAATAATACAAAAAAATCAGTCAAAAACTCCATCCCACTGAATTTTTCAAAAGTCGTAGAACGCCTGGTGACGCAAAAATGAGATTAAGCGGAATATATAGGCGCTCAGGGTAGTAACCGGTCTCTCCATTCATAACGCTTTTTAAAATTCTGTTCAATAAATTTTTAAAAAAATGTTTTTTTTTGTCAATCCAGCAAAATTTTCATTAGCGTCTGAAAAAAAAACATGGAAAAATCAAATCCCATGCATTTGATGCTATCTGTTTTATTTTCAGATCTGAATTTCTCATCAATAATCCAAATTATGAAAAAAACTTTTAAATCAACCGTTAAGTAGATATAGAAATGAGAATTTTGTAATAACACTCCACGTTGCGTTGTGATGGAGTCCAAATTTTTGCGACCTATCCCTACTAAAACACGCAAAAACATTGAAAAACTAACCCACGAAATTAAGCATCATTAGTTTACTAAGCCGATTTAAGATAAGCTTAACCCGTTTGAATGAAACAAATTTTTAAAAATAAAAATCAGATATGGTAAACTTACAAACTACAGAACAAAATTTCAAGTATAGTAAGACAGTTTGAAACAAAAACTAAAAAAACAAGCTTTGGAAAAAACTGCTAGAAAAACCTATCAAATAAAATAAATTGCAATTAAAAAAACGATAAATCAGCCAAAATAAATTAGGACAATAATGCAAGCGCAAAAAATCCAGTGACTTTCTGAAAGTTTGTCATTTTGTTAAATTAACCTGAAACAAAATTGATTTGATGTAATAACGCTCGCTACTTGCAATCCTTAAACTTTTATTCTGCTGAAAAACATTGACTGTTATCTATGTGTATGCAAGCTTTACCAATTTTAAGCAGAATTTTGCAGTTTAATATAATAAATTGATAAATTTTTTACAAATCACTGATTTTTTTTGCGCCTACAGAGATATCTGGCCAGCTAATTTGTTTTGAGTTTTTCTGCATTTAAAGCCCGCGTTGTTTTTGGTTGCAAGAGCAAGTTAGGTAAATTGGGAACTAGACATTTTCACGTGTTTCTCAAAATTTCAACTAAAACTACATATTACCTGTTGAAATAAACATACTGGGAAAAACATATGAAAAAAAAGCAACAAAAGCAAGACATCAGAAAATATTGAGTTTTTGAAACAACTTCTACTTTCGAATTTTGAAATAAAATTAGATCGCTTTAGCGCTTTTTGTTTTCTAGAATAATTTGTTAATGACACTTTGTTGAAACAATTAACCCGAATTGAGAAAACTAGATCATTAGGTATACTTTTTTATTTTGCTGAGAAATCTGAAAACTAAATTCTGCTTTCTTAACTAGTAGTCGATCACGTTTTCCGCGACTTTTTTGTTTTAAAAATTTGCTGTTCGATAGTGCAATTTACTCCTTTAAAAAGAAAATGAAATGAACTTAAAAAATCAAAATTCAAACCTCGAAGCAATAAAAGCAAGCCTGAAAATTTTTAAATTTATTTCCTCAAAAAATGATTATAAATACTTAAAAACGGGAAAAAATTAATTTAGTTTTCGAAACTACAAGGCAACACGTTTGTTGCTCTTATTGCACTTTCGCTTTATCTTTCATATCAATTTATGCTTCTGGAAAAAGAAACTAACGTAAACTAGAGAAAACTGAATCCACGCCTCGAAAAAAATATATATTTTAACAAGAACAAATTTAAAAAGGTTTCCTTAAAAACATTAGAAAAACGATATGCGTGAACCCGTAAAAAATGAATCCGAGACAGTTGGAAAAACGTAATTAACAAAATGAACTTGTAAAATGGACTCACAAAATTTAAAGATTTTGAGAATTGTTTATGATTGTTCTGTTTTTCATCAAATTTACCCAATTAAAAAAATTTGGATTAAAAAGTAATGTTTTATTGCGCTGAGAGATCTTAAATTAACACACATTTTCGAAACTGAAATTAATCAAAATTTGTTTCGCCATTTCAACTTTTTTAATCAAAAAATTGCCTTCCGATTATCAAATAACTTTAAATTGATCATGACCTACAAGTGTCTAAACTATGTTTACTGAATTTTCTTTAAGTCAAATTTCTAGGATCTTGCATATTTGCTGGATTTTTTGAAATCAAACCATTTTGAGAAGCATAAATAAATTAAACTTCTGAAACAACGATCAATTTTTTTTTCGTTTTTATTCGAGGGTGATTTGACTTCCATTTAATGAATTTTCTGAGGTGAACAAAAATACGGAATGCCAAACCGCATAAAATGCGGGCGAGCACAAAATTTATACTTTTCGTGAAAAACTTAAAAGTATCGATTATGGTTTATCATGATGGGCGCTAAATATATACTGCATGAAATTTCAATGTTCTAGAGGAATAATGCAGGAAGGGAACGAAGGTCTCAAACCCGAGGAGCTAGCCATGTTCGAGGAGGACTTCCGTTCATGCGATAAAGACCAGAGTGGTTAGTCATTTCGAAAACAGTATCCATTGCCACTGGCGTCGCAGACCAAGACCACACTTTTCACCTTTATGGGTAATGCATTGAACAGAAAAAATGATGACGCAACTTCGGATTTTGAATGAGTCCCCCCTTCCAAAAAAAGGCCCCAAATTGCGGCGGCTTAAGTTTTGCAAAAAGAGGGTCTATGAAGTAGTATTTCGGTGTAATTCGATCTAGTTACAAAAGTCAAAAATTCGAAAAACCACCCCAACCCACCTCGAAAAATTTTTGCACAATCAATTGAGCTATAAGGAATTCTTTAAGTCAGTAAGGTTTCTGAATAAACATCCGTGTTTCAGCGGAACACTTTTATGATGATCTCAATCTAGCTTTCTTTTTCAGGGACCATCAACATTAAAGAGTTTATAGAATTTCTGACCCGCATGGAGAAAATGTTCTTTGCAGTAGAGTATGAATAGAAACAGACTACCATGTTCCCTTTCAGAACAGACTACCATGATGCTTTCAAAAACATTTCAATTTGATTGAATTTACAAAAGCTGAGATAATTTATAAATTTACCCAATATACCAACATACAATCAAGTGTACATATTCGTTTAACATTTTCAATATTTACAGGACAATTCTGCAGGTACATTAAGTGTGATTTTACAAATAAAAGGCGTATTTTTGTCTTTGGAACTATATCTATCCCAGCACCAAATGAAACCGACAGATGAGTTCGGTTCAATCAAGTCCATTACTGAAGCTCCAGTCTCTTCTTCCGAATAACACCCAACTGATTGTGACATAAATGAATTTCTTTTTCGCAACTAACTTTCATCATAATAAACACTAAAACAAAAAGTGTCTTCAATTCGGAAAAGATTCTACCTTAAACACCAAGTTTCGAGACCAAGTTTTAGAAAACCAACACCCTCATATTTCCTTTACCTTTCTAGAGTTGTACCTAAATAGAAAAAGAGAATGTAGAAACTCACGATCAGAAAAAAAAACATACCCGATTCGATTGGATCAATCTGCATGTATCAACTGTAACGTGCCCTTTTCAACTGTTACAAATTAGGAAAAATTACTGTTTAAAAACGTCATGGACATTGAACCAAGAAAATCTAACAAAACTACCTAAAAAACAACTGCTCAGAGATTTATCATCTCACCAAAAGCTAGTAATTCATTTCGTTAAGCCTGAACCTCTAGGCCAGCTTCAAAAATTTTTGTTTTTGAGATTTCGTTGATTGCTGAAGAATACAGTTTCCGCTGAATGTTAACAAAAAATCATCCAGATTTTTTCATGTAACAGTTCACTTCTGTTTCATCACGAAGCAAACAACACTATACAGTGGTTGTTGTTAACTTGACCATCTGATGCAAAGTAATGTTTGTCAAATTGTGAGCTTTGTTTGTGGCTGGTTCTGATGTCAAATTGGCTAGTAGTCCTGTTTCGTTCACACTCGATGCCATCAGAAATCTTATATGTAGGATGTTCCCACTTACCATAAAGCCAATCACCAGACCTCCATGTAACAACACAATTGCAGCCAAGGTGCCAAACAGCAACTAAACAATTGGAAGACAATGAGCATTCAGAAAACTTTCGAGTTTCCTGAAACATAGTACATCAGCTTCAAGCTCAATCAAATTAAAGAATATTTTATCATAGGTACTTTTTCCATATAATTAATTGGTACAATTTTCACAATGAGAGAACACTGTGTCAATACGTATTTTTTTCATTTTGATTGGAAATCTAAAAATGAAATTCAATTGTCTTTTTTTGCGCCATTTACACCTTACAATAGAAGAGCAGAATATGCTTTCCTTTCAGCAAATCAATTTGATTTGAAGTCAAATCGATTGAAGACAAATCAAGAAAAAATAAAAAACATAACCAACTGACAGTTGGAAAAGAGTAAAGAACGCAACGAAACTGAAACGAAACTGACTTAATTTGTTAAAATCAACTCAATTTGAGGAAACTGGATCAATAGGTAAAATTTTTATTTCACTAAGAAATCTGATAATTAATTTCCATTTTCGAAATTAGAAGCCGATCATGTTTTTCGTGACCTTTACACTTTTGCCGTTCTATAGTGCAGTTTGCCTTCCTTTTAACAATGAAAATGCACTGAGCTTTTAAAAAATTTTAAAAAAATCAGCAAGACGTATTTAAAAGTACTCAATTACGTTCATAACTCTTAATCAATAAAAATACATAAGACAAAAAAGGATAGCTGGTTGCTGCGCAAGTAGCACACAATGTTCCGACCATATTCTTGAAAAAACTACAAAACTTTTTCCAATTTTAGGCCGTTTTTTTGTGCGCGGTGTGATTAAGATCTGAAAGAAAGCCTACAACAAAAGCCTAAAAAATGGACAACATTTTTAATGAAAAATGACAAAAAAACAAAAAAAATATGTACATTTTTTGAATTTTTGAGTTTGTTATTCTCAAAATTGCACTAAAAACATTCGAAAACTATCTATTTTTTACTGGAGTAAAGTTAAACTTTCACGGTTTGAGTAAAAATCTCGTTTGAATTTCACGACAATTGCGTCTTATTTTGCCTGATGATAGGCTTCCGCTTAAACTGTTTGAAAAAGCACAGCCAACAGTTAGTTGGAAGAGTCACGAACGCAAGAAAATAGAAAATGAATTATCTACTTTCGAACTTCAAAGAAAAGATATATTGCCTCCAGCTTTCTATATTTCAAGAAAAATTTATGATGGGCGCTTTTTAGATAGAATTACATCAATTTAATGAGAAAACTGAATCAACATAAGTTTTTTATTCCGCTGGGAAATCTAAAATTAAAATGCACTTTCGAAACTAGAAATCGATCACATTTTTTTGACCCTTTCACTTTTGCTGTTCGAATGTGGAGGTTTAGCTTCTTTTCATAAAATAAGATGAAGTGAACTTAAAAAAATGAAAAGTCAAACAGAGAAAAATCAAATTTAACGTTAACAAAGTTTACGACTTTTTCTTGAAAAAAAATCACCACGACCTATATAAGAGTAGTCACTACGCTCATGACTCTTTAAAAACTTTCAATGGCTTTTCTAGTCGTGATTCAGAATCCAAAAAGATAACATGAAAAACTATCGCAGCGCCAAAAAACTAGCCAGTATGATACCCAGAAGCTGTTGCAAATAAACCCCATTGCTTTCTTGAAGCTTAAATTCAAGCTCTTTCGGACAAAAAATGGCAAAAATGAGAATTTTCTTATCAAGACAGTTGTTATTCTACTCACAGGCATGTCTTCCTCCTTGAGAGATGGCCAGAAGGCGAGACAGAGGGCTGCAGAGGAGACTAGGAGGGCCACTATAGCCACCGTCCACTGAACTGCACTCACTGGGATCAGCCACAACAGCTAAACAACACACACACCCTCACACACAAACTCAATAACTTACACACGTTTGCATCTCTTGCAGATATCACTACATATGTTCCAGTACATGAATCGGTCAAAGAATGTTGCCTGATGTTTTTCGATTTCACTTTTCAAATTGTATTGTTAACTGTATTGTGATCAGAGAATTAATGTTTTATGTCAAACAATAACTCAAACAGTTCTTCCGAAACAGAAAAATAGAAGAACATGGTTCAAATCTTAAAAATGCAGTAAATTAACACGGAAAAATTGACCTGGGGAAAAACAACACAAAACCAAACATAAATACGCACTTCGCAAACACGAGCAAAATAAAAAGAAACTATAACGGTCTAGATAAAAAACTTGAATGAATGAACATAGCCAAAAACAAGTTGTTGAAATGCCAATGGCGCCAAGCAGACCAAAAAATGACATTATGTAAAAATAATCAATGTTCTAGTTTCGATGAAAAAATGTATCGCCTTGAGGCTCTTTAAATTTCAATATTTTTTAATGATTGACACATTTTCCATAAAACTAACCCAATTTGAGATAGACGAAGCTGTCTTTGCAAACGAAAGCGAGCAAACGCCAAAAATGAATTAAGAAAAGAATAGGTGAAAACATAGCCAACAGAGAGGGGGAAAGAGTCAACAAACGCAAACAAAAAAATGACCAATTTTTCGAAAACATCGCAACTGTCAAATTTTAAAGAAAAAAAGAGGACCGTAAAGCTCTTTGATTTTCTAGGAGAATTTGTGATTGACACTTTTTTGATAGAATTACACAGAGCCGAAGCCTAGCTGTGCATCTCTTGCGATACCACAAAAACAGCATTGCAAGCTAGCAGACAGGAAAGGAACAGAGAGCCTAAATCAAAATCAAAAATTTTCGAAAACAAAAACAAACTTAAAAAACTTTAAAATATTATCTGGAATGATGTTCTATTTGCGCCGCGTTTAACACGTCCAGAAACACATTCGACGGCGTTTCGAGAATCAAAAACAATTTTGAACGAAATAAAAAAAACTTTGAACTATAAATTCTATTCTAAAATTCTCACGTTTTCTGCAATCCAGAAGAAAGCATACAAATTATGGTCCCCTCGAACGACTCAAAATTAGGTGAGTACGCCGATAAAAAATAAGCACAAAAATCAAGCTGTCATTTTTTTTAATGGAGATTTCCCCGTTTGAAGAAAAAACAGGTCCTGGTCAGATTCAAACCCAGGAACTTTGTTGCCCCTGGCGTATTCGTTGCCTCCAATCTAAGTGGGCCGGAGACGCTTAAAAAATTGAATTCATTATAAATCAAGATAACAAGTGATTCTGTTAGGCAAGCTGTTAACCCGAAAAAAGTCTATACTCCAATTTGATAACGATTGCTTATTCCAAGAGTAAATACAACTTGAAAAAATTGGCTCAATAGTTAATTTCTTTATTCCGATGACAAATCTAAAAAATAAAATATACTTTCAAAATTGAAATTCGAACTAGATTGCTGTTTGATAAACGAGTTTACCTTTCTTTATACAAAGGAAAAAAAACTGATGTGAAAAAGAAGTCAAGTCCGGCCGCAAAAAACTTAATTTGAGCCTGAACAAGTTTGAGATTTTAATAGAAAAAAAACGGAAAAAAATCATCTCGACCTTTACAAGAGTCTTCGCTCGTTCACCGACTCTTAAAAAAGCCTCAAAAAACTATTTCTTCATCCGGAATCTGATCTCTGGCCTGGATGGTAGGAGTCTCACGTGCTGGCATCACCACCACAGATGCTATTTAAGTTTCAGAGCTATCAGGCAAAGTTGCCACCAAATAAGCACATTGTATTTGCCAGTTGGAAACGGAAAAAGTGGATTTGTAATATAACAATACGCTCGATCGTTTGAGTCAAAATGGATCAATTAAAAATTTTCCCCGCTGCCAAATCAAAAAGTTTGCGACTAAAAATCAATCAAGTTCTCGAATTGATCTTTCATTACAGAATAAATTGCCTTCCTTTTGCCAAACAGAATTAAAATGGAAAAAAAAAATCGAAAATTCTAAAGCCAACAATCAATTTCTGCGTACACAAAAACAAACAGTACCTATCCAATTGGTTCACTTCGTTCCTCGACACTGATAAAAAATATATAGCCAACAGACAGTCGGAAAAGAGTCAATGAACCCAAGACAACGGAAAAAAGACTGACTTGTTTTTTGAAAATTTTATTTTTCGAATTTCACAGAAAAACAATATATGACCTAAAAATTATGACCTCTTTGAATTTTCCGAACAAATTATGATTGAAACTTATTAGCTAAAATTAACCCAAATTGAGAATACTGGATCAATAGGAAGAAAAAAATTCAGTTGGGAAATCTGAAAATTAAAAACCACTTTCAAAACAAGAAGATGGTCACCTTTACACTTCTACTGATCGATAAATTCTACTTCGCTACGTTCTCTTAATAACTAAAACGAGCCAATTATGCGCAGTTTGCGATTGGCATTGAAAAAATTGGATTCCAAATATAACACAATGCGCGTTGTGTAAAAATCTTTCAGATGGTTGAAAAAACTGCAATAGCCTATAATGATCTTTCACTGTCCAATGCAATTTACCGCTGGATTTAATCATAAACTGTAATAAAACTGGCGTAAAGATGAATCCCTTTGGTCAAAATTCGTGAGATCAGAACTGAAAATGCTAAGTAAATGGGCAGGAAAATTTGAAAAACATATGACCTATATAAGTGGGTGATATATTACAACAGGTGGTAGGTTCAATTTCAATAGCAGTATCATTTTTGCCATATTTCGCAAATTACTTAAAAACTATTTCAAAAGCCAAATTTTTAGGCCAAAGAAGTTAAAAATGCGAATCTTAGTGTTAGTACAAGTGATTGAAAATGCAATGACTATATTATGCATTATAGTTCTCAAATTTAATTAATACCGAAATTGAAATAATCAAATTTAATAGACGTATGTGTTAATAAGTGTCAATCAACGAAGTGAGGACACTTATAGCTGATATGTTACAATAGGTGGTAATTTTGAGTTACTCAAAATTACCACCTATTGTAACATATCACATAAGTGTCTTCACTTCTTTGATTGACACATACGTCTACTTACATAATTATTCAAGTTATCCATACATATAGGGTTAGCCTCAATCCATTGACCACATTTCATGTTAAAATATTGTGACTTACAGAGGCTGGGATGAATACTGAAAGTGAGTATCCATAGACACAGACAACCTCCAGCAAAGAAATCATGTTGAGGCTCTTTCTCCATCTCAGGAACAGCCAGAGCAGCACAGGCACGAAACACATGTAGAGACTCACCATCAGACCCGCAGTCGATACTAAACAAGTCGTATGCGATGAGTTAAAAAAACATTCATTGTTTTATCATATATTCCTCATATCATATAACAGCACTGCTTTTTCTTGTTCGTCATTAAAGTTCATGTCCGCGCAAAAACGTAACCAATTATAAAAAAGTTCTATAGTTTCTAAGTGTATCTTAGGATTTTAAAGTGGCTTCCAAGCTCTCCATGAGCAAATACGCAGACCATTATAGAATATCATTAATCCTCATATTCTCAGAGAGATGCTTTGCATAGTATCGATTTTAATTTGTGATTCATTGGGTACTTACTGGTGTCTAAATCATATGCCCACTTGCTGGTCTGAGACACATCCGCATTTTTGTTTGGTTTGTCGCCGGTGTCGTTTATGGGAGACTTTGCATCGGACACATTATTTGTGTGAGTCTTGATGAGAGAGGAGACATTTCCGTTTACTGCGATCGAGAAAACCAGAGTTGCTGCAATCCAGAATGGACCTGTGAATTAAAAAATATAAGCCTGGCAACGGTGAAACTAGTCAACTACGGAGATGCGAAATTGCACTTGATCTACGCAATAGAAAAACAACGAATGTGCTTCGTAAACCTTTGATTTGAGGTGCTTTGTAAACCTTCAAATTACCACACCAAAATTATTCAAGCCCCAACCTTCCGATAAAGAGTAATAGAAAAGTCTCAATATGACAGGTGCGATTTTTAATCTAGTATTCAAGCACCAGCTTCGCTTGTGTAGAAAAATGCGGGTTGATAGTTACAGACACTAACCATAAAGATCCGGATTAGGTCTCAGTTGGTGCTTCACGAAATTTTTTCTCCAGTTCAAAATGATCGATGCGTATATCCTACTTATCACCTTAAAAACAACATTATTAATTAGAAGACAGTTTGCAAATACTGCACTCAATTATATAATTAATGGAAAAAAACAACGATTTTTGACTGACGTGATGTGTTTCAACGTCGAAAAACGACTGGTAATACTCAAACGAGAGGAACCCCTGCTTGCTTTGTCCAGTTTCCGGGTTGAGTAACTACAACATCAAAATTAGATTCTAAACGTAATAAGAGCAGCAGGTTACTATGCCAGTATCACAGAATGCTCCTACCCTGGTAATTAAATAATTTGAAAATGGAAAAAAAAATGCAATTTTTGCTCTTTGTTATAAAAATGCGCTGAGCTGAATTTACTCCGACAGCTAAAAAAACGCCTTGATATGTTTGGAATTCCTTGATACGTTTTCGCATCCGAATCATTCCTAAAATAACTTTGGAAAATGGACAAAAATGAAATTACTGAAATAGCAAATCAATTGAATTAAGTCTTTTCAAAAATAGGTATTTTTGATGATGAACATACAACCAAAACCAAAAAGAAAAATACAGCTGCAGAGGTCAACTTCAGTTGCGTCATAAGAAAAGAAAAAAGCGAGAAAGTAGATAAAATACCGTTCGGCAAATCTCCATTGACTATAAAGCTTCCATTAGGAATACAAGCGTTCTGCCTCCAACTTGGCAATCTTGCTACCGAAACGCACCTACAATTTGCAATAAAGGAAAGTTGAACAAGCCGTTCCTAAGGCACGGTGAAAAGGCACTATATCACATAGTGAAATTCTTTTTCTGGATTCACTGCAGCTAGAATATAACACACGAGTAGACAGTCAAACACCATTTTCTGAAGCAGAACGGTGCAACACAAAACCATTCAAACAGCAAGGCTCAAATGTGGATAGCATAGCAACAACGAGTGAAAAGCTGAGACAGACAGGAAAGAAAAATTTTCAACTTCTCTGGGCGAAAATTTATTTCAACCTACAGAAAAAGAAAAGTGGATCTACAGAAAAAGAAACGCGTCGCTACTTCTGGCTACAGATGGTTTCTTAAGTGAGCTACTGACCAAGCAAAGCCGAACGGCAACGTTAGCTTTTCAACGACAGAGCAGTTAGTTAAGCGAAAACTTATTCAAAAACTCTCTTTCGTACAGTAAATTGATATTGATTCTAATACGTTTCCCGCAACATAAGTGAAGAAACGGAACATCTAGCACATCCTGATGGTAATAAAACCCGAATCAGAATAGTAATCCCAGTGAAAATGCTTTTAAAACTAGCAAACTTTCCCAGTCCAAGAAATGAAAATACTTGGAGTTACCTTCGATTATGAACTCACATTCCAGCCACATATTAACAATTTGAGTAAAAAGTTATCAAGTTCTAAATGAAACTATCAGAATTGAAACAGATTTAAGAGTATCTAATAGAGCCAGATAACTTATGCCTTGCCAGTTGGGCTTGCGCCAACATAATTACGCTAAGATCCATTGACCGTGTTCAAGAATAGCCAATGAAACTTACTATCATTAGGAAAACTTAATTCTATCGACTCAATCATTGAAAGAACAGATGCCAGCCTACTTCAACAAGCAAAGAAAAAAAACAACTTCCATATTTTACATCATCTCGTGCTTCAACGTGAAAACTATTCCACAAGCCGCCTCAGAAATAGAACAGCACATGCAATATCAGAAACTAGAAAAACATGTGAAACTTTTCCCGCGGCGCTCCATTAGATGCAAACTTAACAAACTTTAATTTTGTTAAGTGTAAAGTATTCATAAATTATATGTGTTTATAAATTCATTAACATTTCTTCTTCTTCCTTTATGCTACTGTAAAGATTCACCTGCGTTCGAAAAAAGATCTCCGTAAGACGTCAAAACTCCTACTACTACGTTCGAAAGCATTGAGTTTTTCTGACAAATGAAACAAAAATCCAGGCAAACTTAATAAATTTCCAAGATTAACTTACGTTGGCTTTATCGTCTTGGTCTGAATCAACCTCTGAATCATGATTGCTGCCAATGGGTATTCTAGCAGGAGTGGTATCTCGGGATTGGTTCGTTTTATCTTTGTCCCCATTGTTGCCAGTGCTGTAATCTGTTTAAGAATAAGTAACATAACTTCTCAAATGATGTATTAAAATGATGTTTTTCAGTTCTGAAAAATACCTCCAAATTGTAAATCTTGCGGCGATATTCCGTGTTCATCCTAAAACCTCCAGAGATTATAATAAAACCTTTACAATGTAAAAAACTTGCAAATAGTTACTTATCAAACTGTTAACCACGCACCATTTCCAATCCTGAAACAATTGTATATGGAATATTTAATCGCTTTGAACATCTCAAAACCTTTCTTTAGAAAAATAAAACTTTACGATACTTCGCATTACTTACGATACATAATTAAATGTAACTGCAAGTATAAAAAAAGTTGATTCGGAATAGTGATGTAGTATGATGCCATTTATATTCTGCAGTGAGTCGATGTGACGTGGATAAAAGTAATTTCGAGCATTTTGTAAATTCTGTTCGATGACACTGTAACCATTTTACGAACATTGCGCGATTCAATGAGGACATTGACCGGACTGTCCGGGGAGTATGTGACATTCGACCAGAATGGCCAAAATGCAATCTCTGCAGATTTCGAAATTTTAGCAGTGAACCTTCCGAGTTAATGATTTTGAAGGATTAACGACGTTATTCGGATGATTAGCAGAACGGTGAAGGTCAGGATATTCCCGTATTTTAAAATTTTCGAAGTGATGACGTAACATTTCTGAGAAATGCTGAAACGGCCATTTTAACAAAAAACGAGAGAGAAAACACAACAACATTAGTTGCGCTGACGATAGCAACGACAATCGTGATAAGAAAAACAGCAGCAGATTGCAGAAAACGTTCCGAGTTGCAACTATTGTGCTGCGACAATAGTTGCAAGGCCGTTGCGAGCAACGGTGAAGGGTGAGAAACCAGCCTTCCGGATTAGGAGGAAATCAAGATTAGCGAGCTTGATTCAGTGGATTCAAGAATTCGGAAGGGTTTCGGGACTGAAACTTTTAGCCTGTTATTAAAACTTTTAGCTTCCTGTCATGTCCTGACTTGAATTTAATTAATATCTAGATTCATTTTGATAAGGATGAGAAGCTAGGAGTTGGGGGGAAAGGGTTGATCCATCTTCGATGGAGATGATGATTTTTATCTACTGAACAAAAACAATAGTAATATAATAAGTAGTAACCCTGTTTTTAGGAGTGACCTCGTGGTCTGGGGATACTGAGACCCAGCCATGAGCTCACTATTTGCATGTAATTAAGTTAATTTGAGCGTTCTGGTCGAAGCCGGAGAACAGTAACGTTTTTGTCGACCCGATGTTGGAAAAACCACCGAAAAGTACTGGCTTGGTAGAGACGGTGAAAAGCATGCAAAGCTCTGTTTAGACGCTAGCCAGTCGTCTTAAGACTTAGTTTTGTTATCCGTCGATATGTATCTTCCGGGCGAATGTTACATACATGTTTTTATGGCGCTCCTGGGTGTTATTCTTTTATAACATCATGACCGGCGGAACCGTTAACGAGCACTCCGCGCCGAGCGGATGCTCACATTAACGCCCTTAATAGGCCTAAACCGCCGGGGCGGAAGGGTAGTTCGGAACGCGGAGGCCTTCCGGATTGCCGTGAATAGTTTTTTAACCTAGTTAAGACCGAAAATTCACGAACCAGGAAGGGTGGGGGGATCGGCCGTCCCCTCGTCCCCTGAGTGGTTGGTGACCAAAAACACTTAAAGATATAAGTAAAACCAAACAAAAAGTAGTATAGTACCCAAGGAAAACAAAAAACATAAAAAATAACCGAAAAAACCAAAAACAGTAAAAAAGTTAAAAAAAATCAGTAGAAATCATCCCCCCAGACAAGATGTGATCCGACCCCCCCGTTTGTTGTTGATAGATATATTGTTGTTACAGGCATTTATATCAGTCAGGATCGTTACGATCAGTTTTGTAGCCCGTTTGTGAGGCTTGTACTGTAGGGTTATTTGAGCATTTAAGCACGTTAATGATAAATTGCGCTCAATCCGGAAGGGTCAGCTGATTTGCGCTCAATTCGGAAGGGTCTTGGGTGAAGACCGATCCGGCAAGCAGTACAAGGAGCAACAAGAAGGGGCTCAACGACAACAACAATCGACTGTTGGGTATCGTTAACAAGTTTTGTATCCCTTTTGGTACAAAAAGTAAGATAGTAATCTGTGGGGGGCTCGACAGTGCTGCACTGTAGTGACCCTTCACCGAACTGCGAATATCCGAGTTAAGCACCTTGATTCGGATATTAAGGAAACCCGGAGGGGTATAGTATTACTAATATTATTACTTACATAGCCTATATTAATAGTCTTATATCGTTTTTCCTGTTGTTTTGATTGAACCCGAAATCTCAGATCTGGACGGAGGGGGGGGGGGGGTAGGTAACGGGAAAACTCAAAAAGAATCAAACAGCTGTGAAAAAAATAAAAAAAAATCAAAACTATTCCGAGGGCCATGAATCTTTGAGACAATTTGCGCGTACCCGTTTATATTGGGTAGCTTCCGTAACCCGAAATTTCAGACTTAGGAGGAAACTGGCGAGTAACGCACCTCCAAAGCTTCGAATTTTGAACAAATAAAAAACTGCATATTATGGAAAAATGATCTGCATCCTGTAACTGTACTCTGACAGCACCCAATTACAGGGTTCGTAATTTCAAATTTTATTATGTTTTTGAACAAAGTTTTTTTTAAATTCATTTTTAACTTTGTAGCAGTCGTCTACTTCGGTCAAACATTAGGCTAGGAGAACTAGGCTATGTAACCATTGGCTGAAGGGTCGGTGACACTACCTCTTGTCTTTTCGCACCTCAATCTGTCAGAGCCAATTCGGTTCACTTAAGACAGGGAACGTCGAGATCGTGTTACAGCTTAAAGGCTACTACCAAAATACCCGCACTCTAGAAACAATTATGTCCCCATGACTAGGTCTCTCTAAATACCTAAATCACGCAAACGCCGTACAAAAATAGGTTTGGAATGTAACAGTTGCCTACTTAAGTGACATATGAGGTTAAAGAAAAACAGGCCCTAAAAATATTGGCTCAAGAGTCAGGGTTACTATATCTTGTGTTTTTCTACCTCAAACGGTCGGAGCCAATTTGGTTCACTTGCGACATGAGACTAAAAACTTTGTTACAGCTTAAAGGCCACTACCAAATACCCCCTCACTCTAGAAAATAAGAACGTTGGGGACTTAGGTCTCAAAATAACTAAAACACGCGAAAGCCGTTAAAAACAAGGTCGGAACAATCCGTATAGCTATTTTTTGTTAAACAGTGGAACTTTGATCCATTTCAGTTGGATCAACCTACACTTCTCCTTGTCTCAACATAACAATATAAAACACACTCAAGAATTTTAAATTGGGTACACACATACCGGCATACTCTAGAATTAGAGTAACTAAATTAACCAGTAACTCTAGCATAAATGGATAATCAAGTTTGACTCAAGAAGTTTCGGATAAGTCAGTTTTAACTCAAGAAACAAGTTTTGGTTCTGGACCATTGGGAGACTTCGCTTGTCCACCTTTCCACCAAAGGTTTACTCTGGTCCGCTTCTAATCTGTCTCTTCTTTATCCGCGATTGCTCTGCCTTCTCTTTTGAATACTCTACTCTCGTGTAATCTTAACTCTGGAACTGGCGAATAGCGATTTCCCGCTGCTTTTTTCGACTACTTTCACGCGATTGTAAATCGGTTCTTCTGATATTATTTTCTGATATTTTCAGTTGTAGAAAGAAACTTGAGCATGACATGTCCAATTTGAATTTTGGAAAAAACTTCATTTCACCTCAAAATCATGTTTCCTGCGTTGCTCAATGTCAAACTTCCAAATATGACCGACTGGCACCGAAACTCAAGTAATTATTATTAATTTTTAATGACTATGTAACATTCGCCCAGAACTACATACAGACGGAAAAAAGAATTAGGTTATGAAACGACTGGCTAGCGTCTAAAAACAGCTTCACATGCTTTTAACCGTCTCTAACAATGCCAGTTCAATGTGTGGTCCATTAACATCCGGTCGACGAAATCAATACTATTTAAGGCTATCGGCCAGATTGCGCAAAATAACTTAGTTAGATGCAAACATAGTAAGCTCCTGGCTGGGTCTCAGTAACCTCAGACCACAATGTCACTCCTGAAAACAGGGCTGTTACTTATTTATCATATTGATATAGTTTTTTTCAGTAGATAAAAATCATCATAACCATCGGAGATGGATCAACCCTTTCTTCTAACTCTGTAACAGCCGCCTTGAGTGTGTTTTATGATTGTTATGTTGAGATAAGGCGAGTTTCAGGTTGATCCATCTGAAACGGATCAAAGTTTCACTCTCTAGTAAAAAGTAACTGTGCGGATTGTTCCGATCCTGTTTTTAACGGCGTTCGTATATTTTGTGTATTTTGAGACCCAATTATGGGGACGTTCTTGTTTTCTAGAGTGAGGGGGGGGGGTATTTTGGTAGCGGCCTTTAAGCTGTAACGGGTTTTTAGTCTCATGTCGCAAGCGAACCGAATTGGCTCCGACCGTTTTGAGGTGGAAAAACACGAGAGATAGTGTCCCTGACTCTTGAGCCAATGGTTATAGGGCCTATCCTTCTTAAGCCTCATATGTGACCGAAGTAGGCGACTGTTGTTATGGCGCTCCTGGGTGTTTTTACGACATCATGAGTACAGAGTCGAACCCGCTTGATGCAGCTCCGGGCTACATGCCCATTCTAGAGTACCGGTTGTACCGTTCAGCGGGAACGTGTAAACCTTCCGGTTGTACCGTGATAGCTTTTTAAGAAAACTCGAGACAATTTCCTGGTACGCTCTCCAAACGAGGCTTAGCTAACCGAGTAAGGGGGGGGGGGGTAACTAGGGGGACGAAAAAACGAGCAAAAAATAAAAAGCGAAACAAAAACCGAAAAAAAACAGAAAAAGGAAAAAAAACTATAAAACAAAAAATGACAGTGACTTTAACACCAAATTAGTTGGATCAAACCTTTATATTAATTAAATAGTATACCCATACTGTTTTTTTTATAAGACCGATCGTTTCGATCATTTTAGCAATATGAAAAGGTGCCCGAGTGTGGGGCGTTGTGAAGGGTTTTCAGATAGCTTGCAACTTAGCTGAACCATTAGGAGACTTGACTGGAACAGGTGACCAGTCGAGTGGGAAAGTGGTTCACAGGGATTTAGCTGGACCATTAGGAGACTTGACTGGAACAGGTGACCAGCCAAGTGGGAAAGTGGTGCTGGTGATCAGCCGCAGGACGAGTCAAGGAGCCTCTAAACAACCAGCACGAGCAGAGCAACAAGAGAGG